ATTGGATGCGATGCCTCTTTTTAATACAACTTCTTGTAAAACATAAGTCAGTCCTAAAAACTACAGACCAAAAGACTTATTAGTAAAAACTTTTACATTTCGATAGTTCAATCTACAAATAGTTTTTAATTATTACAAATTATATGTTACTCCCCTTTTGAAGCCCTCTGACATGATAAGTTTGAATGCAACACAGATGAATTTATACAAAAGTTGCAGTTCTTTAAATGTGCGTCAAATTTAAAAGCGTGAGACTAAAATTTGTTATATGTGACGAAATCTATTCCTATATGAAAATACTAAAGTTTTCATATACATAGTTCCTTGCATCGGCGTTGATTTATAATTTAAATTTTCATTGCAAACCTACTTTGGTATGAATCTCCAATAACACGACCACTAGACAAAAATAATTATTTACCCGCTAACAACTTGTATTCGAAATCGTTTCTTGTATTAAAAAAATCGCTAAAATAACAACATTTGACAGATTTGTTGACAACCATATGACTTCCTACCCTGCGTTTTTACGGCTGTTACCATATTTTCTTAAGGGACGAAAACCGCCGTCGAAATTAGGAAAAACTAGAAGCTAACACAGGAAAATAGGTAAGAAAAGATCACAAAACACCCGCAGATAAATTTGGAAGTAAAAATCCTCAAGAAATTAACAAATTTTTTACTTTCAGCTAACATGGCCTCTAGAGAGGAATTTGAAGAAACAATGCCAATAAATGGTGTGGTGGCCATGTATACTTGCAAAAGATGTAACAAGGTGGGTGGCAAATTGCTTAAACTATTCCTCAAAAACCTTAACTACTGAATTTTTAACTTTTACTTGCTACAGATATTCCCCTGTAAACGTGACCAACTTTTGCACAAAAAAGAAGTGCATTCCCAAACAAAATCCTCTTACGAATGTAAAATCTGTTCCAAATATTTCTGCAATAGCGGCAACTTAGAGCGTCATATGAAGGTTCACAATGATGTGCGTCCCTTTGTCTGTCGCATTGTGGCAAGGCTTTCGCCCAGTCTGTCAACCTAAATCGTCATTATTCTGTACACAATGGTGAACGCCCGTATCCGTGTACTTTTTGTAATAAGACCTTTACCCAACAGTCGAATATGCAACGCCATCAGCTAACACATACGGGAGAGAAACCGTTTCGTTGTAAACGTTGTGGCCGTTTATTTCTCTCAGCGTGTTAACCTTAAAAAGCATATTATGGGACATTTGAATACCAAACCATACACGTGCAAAATATGCCAAAAGTCATTTATACAATTGGGCAATTTTAAGAAACATTTACAGTCACATCTTAAGGATGGCTTAGAGATTGATATGAAGGCGTTGGTGGCCGAGGCACAGGCAATGGCCAAGCAAAGTTTGGAAATGGCCGATGAGCAACCAGTGTAAGTAAAATATTTTTAAAGGATGGGGAATTCTTAGTGATTTAGGTCTATGACTAGTCGAGGCATGGGAAAATTTATTAACTCAAACAATTTGTTTGCAAATTTGTAAAATTTTCATCTATGAGGGATTCTTTGACAGATTATTACCAGGACGAGTTTATTCGTTTAATGTTTATTATGATACTAAACGACGGGATATGATATTTGGTTTTGGCATGGAAGTAGTTCTTTGTTTGAAATCCAATAAGAATTCAACATTTATCGATAGATAGATAGATAGATAGATAGATAGATAGATAGATAGATAGATAGATAGATAGATAGATAGATAGATAGATAGATAGATTAGATAGATAGATAGATAGATAGTAGATAGATAGATAGATAGATAGATAGATAGATAGATAGATAGATAGATAGATAGATAGATAGATAGATAGATAGATAGATAGATAGATAGATATAGATAGATAGATAGATAGATAGATAGATAGAGATAGATTAGAGATAGATAGATAGATAGATAGATAGATAGATAGATAGATAGATAGATAGATAGATAGATAGATAGATAGATAGATAGATAGATAGATAGATAGATAGATAGATAGATAGATAGATAGATAGATAGATAGATAGATAGATAGATAGATAGATAGATAGATAGATAGATAGATAGATAGATAGATAGATAGATAGATAGATAGATAGATAGATAGATAGATAGATAGATAGATAGATAGATAGATAGATAGATAGATAGATAGATAGATAGATAGATAGATAGATAGATAGATAGATAGATAGATAGATAGATAGATAGATAGATAGATAGATAGATAGATAGATAGATAGATAGATAGATAGATAGATAGATAGATAGATAGATAGATAGATAGATAGATATAGATAGATAGATAGGATAGATAGATAGATAGATAGATAGATAGATAGATAGATAGATAGATAGATAGATAGATAGATAGATAGATAGATAGATAGATAGATAGATAGATAGATAGATAGATAGATAGATAGATAGATAGATAGATAGATAGATAGATAGATAGATAGATAGATAGATATATAGATAGATAGATAGATAGATAGATAGATAGATAGATAGATAGATAGATAGATAGATAGATAGATAGATAGATAGATAGATAGATAGATAGATAGATAGATAGATAGATAGATAGATAGATAGATAGATAGAATATATAGATAGATAGATAGATAGATAGATAGATAGATAGATAGATAGATAGATAGATAGATAGATAGATAGATAGATTGATAGATATATAGATAAAGGATAAATAGAGATCTGTAAACTATTATCTACTCTGTAATATTTACTTTCTAAACAAAACTCTACTCTTTTTTCCCTATTTTTTAACAGTGGCTTCGAGTGTGCTGTGTGCCGTTCGATTTTCAATAATTTTACCGATTTCGAAATGCATGAAAGTGAGTGCAACGAAAATGCACAAGCAGCCATGGAACAGAAATACAATCCCGATGAACAACTACACGAAGTTGTTGTCGAAGAGGTGGAGGATCATGTTGAAGAACAGATAATAACGCCTGATGGTGTTGTAACTGGCAGTCACTTTGGCACTTATGCACCTTTGAAATTCAGTGTCTCACAATTGGATACACATGAAATAATTATTGAAACCAGTCGATAAAATGTTTTTTTTTTTTGTGAAATTGAAATGATATAAAAACTGAATGAAGTCTTTATAACAAAAAAAAAAATAGCAAAGCATAACAGCAAAAAGTTATATAGTTTTCAATTTGAATTCACGTTATTCAAATAAATACAAACATACAAAAATATAAACTTAAATATATACATAACATATATATATCTACAAATATAAATACTATAATGCATTAGACGTGTGTGTGGATTTGTAAAGGTTTGGGAGCCAAGCCAAAGGTATGACGTCAATTGTAAACAGTAAAAAAAAAAGAAAATCAACAAACAGCAAATTGTCGTCGCGGTAATCTATGTAACTTTTTTTCTTTTTCTTGTTTAGTTCAAACTAATTTTAAAATTATAAAATAATTAAAAAATAATAATTATAAATATGAATAAAAATAATATTAATAGCAATTATGTTCATTACATAAGTACATTTAAGTCAAAATATTCAAAACAACAAAGAATAAAGAAATAATATGAAAGAATAGGAATGGTTTTATTTAAATAGTGTTGTCTAAAGTGAAATCTGAACGGTCAATGGATGATTTACATTTGTGGGTGTTACAGAAAATTGGGAGCTTTTACTTACAGTAGGAAGTTGAAAACTAGTCTTGCCTTAATGTTTAATAAAAAATCCTTTTGTTTAAGTAATAAATTTTTTATTTAGTGTCGTTTTTTATTATTTTTTTAATTTTTAATATTATTAAGTTTATAATATACTGGTTTTAGATTAAAAATCTTATATTGCAAAGAAATCATAATAATACAAATTTATTAAATATGTTTTTTATATTTAACTACATAATTTAGTTTTTTTTTATAATTTTTTGTTATTTTTTTGAAATTTTTTCCATTTTTTCTTTTAGCAGGATTGGCAAATACTTAATTAAAATTCTTGTTTTTTGTTTAAATTAAATTGTTTTTTGTTTACTAAATACTCTAATAAATATTAATGTTTTTATAATTATATAGTTAATATAATTGATTAAATTAACCCTCAACAGGGAAGAAGTCTTTGAGCAAAGTAGTGCGTCGTTTTTTCAGCAATATCCATTTGATTTTCTAAATCACCTAAATCCGTTGTTTCAGCACGTTCAATCTTCCAGGAGAGATTTTCTATTTCAGCTTCTAGTTGAGCCTATGAGAAGAAAGAAACAGTTGAAGTATAAATAATAATAATTTTCCATAAATTTCCTACACCTTACCTGTTGATATTCAAATAGATCTTTGCGTGAACCACTGTCCATAAAATACGCATACGGATAAGTGTACTGCAAGGTATAACGACATTTGGCCAACAGCGAGGCGGCATTAAACAAATACTGCCAATCAATCCAAGTGCCACGTCCCTTCATAACCTTATCGTTAATGCGTGTACGCAGACGATCCAATGTCTGTTGCTCCAATTGCAACGACTTCGAGTGATTCTCCCAACGTTCATAGTAATGTAGATATTTCTTTAGAGCCTCTCTGGCCTGAACATGTACCGATTCATTGGCAATATTGGGATTATCTTTATAACGTGAACATTCATAATACTCCGAACCGTGAGTCTTCCAATCGCCCAAACACATCCAACAGAAATCGTATTTACAATTGAAACATTGCATATGATTACAGCCGCCATTCTTCTCAATGCAGATGTGACACTTGGGACAGTCTTTGGTATTGGCGCTTATATAGTTGGCCGTTTCGCTGTCGTCGGCGCATTTGGTCAACCATTTTCTAATAATTTGACAATCTGTGGGTGCATGATAGTCCATGCCGCATTTGAAACAAAAGCTAGTAGTGCAGGAAGTGCAAACAACACGTTTGGGTGCTATTTCACGTGAACGTACAATAATTTGACAATTAGGACCGGGACAAAAGCGTAACTCGGGATGTGATTTAACATAGTCTTGAAAGCAAACTGTTGGTATTTTTCACGCATAACGGGGCGTGTTACTAAAGTCAAAACCAAATCCTCGGGCACACGAACATTGCACATTTGAGCCATACAACCAATTTGAGTGGAAATTCCCTGTTCATATAAATAAAACAAATTAGAAACATAAGAAGTTTATAAAAGAAAGTTTTACTTTACCTGAAATATTTGCGTATCAAAAAACATGGACCAACAGTCTTTACAAAATGAATGGGCACACGATAAACTATAGAATTTATCACCCAGCTGCACTGTGGCACAAACAGGACACATTTGACTACGATACTGTTGTGTTAAGCTGCCAATTACACCAACAATACCACCGCCTCCACTCCCACCACTACTACTACTTGGTGAGGGCGTGGCTGTTGGTGATTTACTATACGTACTTAAAGTACCAATCGTTGTTGTACCAGTTGCCGCTTGTGCTTGTGCACTTGTTGAGGCTACATTTTCTGTCTCTAATGCCGGATCGACATTATTACAGGGCGGTTTAATGCGCGTCTCTACGAGTAGAGCATTGGCATTTTGCCTATATTTATCGACCACCACCTGATTGATCCACTGATGTTCGAGCAGTAGAACTTTGGCAAGTGATGGCGTTATCTGGAGTATTGTATTGAGTTTTTTCCACCGATTCGTTGAGCAATTTTTCAACTTCTTCCACTGTTAGGCATTCGTATTCGAAATATTCGGGATCGGTTTTTTTCGGATCTAAACGTTCAACATCACAATCTTCACCTGAAAGGAATAAGAAATAAAATTTTTTTAATAAATTTTTTATTTAATAGAATATTTTCCATAGAATTTGTTTTTGTAAGAACATTTTTGATAAATTTTATTTTTTATAGAAATTTTTCGATAAATGTTCTTTATTTTAGAAAAATTTTCGATAAAGTACTTTTTTTACAAGAAAATTATTGATAAATTTCGATAAATTTTCTCTTCAATACAAAATATTCGATAAATTTGCTTTCTTTATAAAAAATTTCGATTAATTTTCTTTTTTATAGAAAGTTTTCAAAAAAATTTCTCATTTATAGAAAATTTTTAAAAATTTTCTTTTTTTAGAAATTTTTCGAAACTTTTTTCTTTTTTTATAGAAAATTATCAATAATTTTTTTCTTTTTTATAGAAAATTATCGACAAATTTTGCTCTTTAAAAGATATTTTTCCCTTTTATAGGAAATGTTCGATAAATTTCCCGTTTATAGGAAATTTTGGATAAATTTCCCTTTTATAGGAAATTTTCGATAAATTTCCTTTTATAGGAAATTTTCGATAAATTTCCTTTTATAGGAAATTTTGAATAAATTCCTTTTATAGGAAATTTTGAATAAATTTCCTTTTTATAGGAAATTTGAATAAATTTCCTTTTTATAGGAAATTTTGAATAAATTTCCTTTTTATAGGAAATTTTGAATAAATTTCCTTTTTATAGGAAATTTTAAATAAATTTATTTTTTATAGGAAATTTTAAATAAATTTCCTTTTTATAGGAAATTTTAAACAAATTTCCTTTTTATAGGAAATTTTAAATAAATTTCCTTTTTATAGGAAATTTTAAATAAATTTCCTTTTTATAGGAAATTTTCAATAAATTCCTTTTTATAGGAAATTTTAAATAAATTTATTTTTATAGGAAATTTTAAATAAATTTCCTTTTATAGGAAATTTTAAATAAATTTCCTTTTTATAGGAAATTTTAAATAAATTTCCTTTTTATAGGAAATTTAAACAAATTTCCTTTTTATAGGAAATTTTAAATAAATTTCCTTTTATAGGAAATTTTCAATAATTTCCTTTTTATAGGAAAATTTCAATAAATTTCCTTTTTATAGGAAAATTTCAATAAATTTCCTTTTTATAGGAAAATTTCAATAAATTTCCTTTTTATAGGAAAATTTCAATAAATTTCCTTTTTATAGGAAATTTTCAATAAATTTCCTTTTATAATAACAATTTTTCGATAAATTTCTCTTTTATAGGAAATTTTCGATAAATTTTCCCTTTTATAGGAAATTTTCGAATAATTTCGATAAATTTCAATTCTTTTCGAATAATTTCGATAAAATTTTAATTTTTTCTGGAAAATTTTCGATAAATTTTCTAAATTTTTTTCCATTAATTCTCTTATCATAAAAAATTTGCGATAAATTTCATCTTTATCGATAAATGTTTTTAGTCATTATAAAACTTTTGACATTTTAAATCTGAAACGGTTTAATCCCTTTATTTGTTTTGGTTATTTACGCTATTTACGTGAATTCATTTCAATTTACATACATATATTCATAAAATAAATTTACGCTTGAGTTATTATTATTATTATTTTGTTTCTGTGTTATTATTTATTTCTGAAGGTTATATACTCTATATAAAGTGTGTATTGAATATAAGAGAAATATAGTCATTTAAGACCGAATACATAAAACCCTACATTAGAAAACAACAAATGAAATTTATTTAGAAAGACGAAAACACAGACATTTCTAAGTTTATCTTTGAAAGTGATTCTCTTATAATTTAAAGTGTGCCTGACCAATATTTCTACCAACATCATTATAACCTTTCTACTATAATGATATAGGGGTATCAATATCTTAGCTGTAATATTACATGACATTTTTTCGAGGTACCGTGTAACAAATAAAATACAGAGTATGTAATAACAAAAATCAACAAAGTATTTATTTTTAACAAAAAAAAAATATATAGAAAAATATCAATAAAATACATAACGTTTACAGACAGACAACAACAATATGAGTGTTGAGCAACAACGTTGTAATAATCGTAATCATATGCCAGCTAAAACCGACGTCATTATTATTGATTTAGTAATGATAATGAATCAAATCGAATATAGATTAAACGACAGAGGAAAAATACTGCAAAGTGAAAAACAAGGCAATAATTTAGGTAGACAAAACTGCACTTTAAAATAAAGTGAAATAAATAAACAAAAGTCCACAGCGATAGGTAAGTTTAACCCTTTGTGTAGCGCGTAGTTAAATTGGGGAAAATTTTTTAAAAACATTAAAATGTACAAGACGTCTTGGTAGAGATGGAGAAGGTATTGGTATTGAGTGTAAATAAATCACAAATAATTGTTAGTAAAAGAGAAATAAACATAAACAGCAACAGCAACAACTACGCAATAGTAAACGTCAAACAATGTAACGTTATTAAACAAACAGTAATAAACTTACACAATTACAGATATGTATTTTGAATGTTACACAACAAATGTATTATGTAGGTATTCAGAGATGTGGGTAGAAATTTCATGTGACCAACTAAAAAATGCTACTAACACAACAATCTTTCATAACTAAAGAAAAGAGAAAGGTAGATAGTGATAGATATAGAGAGATAGATAGACAAGATAGATAGATAGTAGATAGATAGATAGATAGATAGATAGATAGATAGGTAGATAGATAGATAGATAGATAGATAGATAGATAGATAGATAGATAGATAGATAGATAGATAGATAGATAGTCGATAGCTAGCTCGCTCGCTAGCTGCTCGCTCGATCGATGATAGATCTCGCTCGCCCTCGCTCGATAGATAGCTCGCTCGCTCGATCGCTCGCTCGCTCGCTCGCTCCTCGCTCGCTCGCTCGCTCGCTCGCTCGCTCGCTCGCTCGCTCGCTCGCTCGCTCGCTCGCTCGCTCGCTCGCTCGCTCGCTCGCTCGCTCGCTCGCTCGCTCGCTCGCTCGCTCGCTCGCTCGCTCGCTCGCTAGCTCGCTCGCTCGCTCGCTCGCTCGCTCGCTCGCTCGCTCGCTCGCTCGGCTTAGCTCGCTCCGCTCGATCCCTGCATCGCTTCGCTCGCTGGGATTGCTTCCTCGCTCGCTCGCTCGCTCGATCGCTCAGCTCGCTTCGCTCTACTCGCTCGCTCGCTACTCGCACGCTCCTCGCTCGCTAGCTCGCTCGCTCGCTCGCTCGCTAGCTCGCTCGCTCGACTCGCTCGCTCGCTAGCTCAGCTCGCTCGCTCGCTCGGCTATGCTCCTCGATCCGCTCCTCGCTCGCTCAGCTCGCTCGCTCTCCTCGCTCGCTCGCTCGCTCGCTCGCTCTATCGCTCGCTCGCTCTGCTCTCTCTATCGCTGCTCGCTCGCTCGCTGCGCGCTCGCTCGCCGCTTCATTCGCTCGCTCGCTCGCTCGCTGCGCGCTCGCGCGCTCGCTCTCTCGCATCGCTCGATGAGTAGCTCGCTCGATCGCTCGATAGCTCGAGCTCGATCGCTCGAAGATCGCTCGCTCCGCTCCTCAATACACTGTCCCACGCCTATCTCTTCCTTCCGGGTCCCCCCCCCCCGGCCCCTCCCTTTCCCTCCTCCTCCCCTTCCCTCCCCCCGGCCCCTCCCCTGTTCCTCTTTTTTCCTTTTCTTCCCCCCCCCCTCCCCCCCTTCCGTTTCCTGGGTCTTCCCTCCCGCCCCTTCCCCCTCCTGACCTCCCCGTGTGTTTCCTTTATTTAGAGTATTGAGTTTCATTAACCTTTAATATTTAAAGAAAAACTATAAAATGAACTTGTTACATTCACACTAAACAAATAGTCTTAAAAAATAACAACAACAACTAGCACAAAACCTAACAACAAAAGGACGGATCCACAGATAGACAATACGATACTTGACAGACAGATATGAAGCCAGTAAGTAAAGGAATAATACTTTAATCGTTCCACACCACTCATATGTACATTAATAAAACTAAAAGTAGAAAGAAAAAATATTTATGTTGTATGGTTTATTGACCTTTTACTTTTTTTTATAGTAAAGTAACAGAATATAACAACAACTGCTACTATTACATATAGCAACATTAACGAAAAAAACATCAATATTGTGGTTGTTTACCTTTTTTCATTCTAAAGTCAGTGCAGTAGAGATGTCTGATTTCATAGTAAAAAATCTCACTAAAGATCATTTATCTACACTGCTACTATTACTTAACTAGTATGCTAAGGCATGTTTGCTTAAGTTCTATTCAAAAGGGATTATAAAATTAGTTGTAGGATTTTTATATTTTGTTTTTAGTTTGTATTATCAACTTAAAAGTTTTAATTTTTTATTATTCTTTAAAACAGAAGAAACATATTCGAGTCGTATTCTCTAAAATTTCCTTTGCAGTTTATTTTTTAAATAACAAAAATAAGTGTAGTACCTTTTATAAATCTTAAAAAACAATACCAAGAAACCACCAACAGATGATAAGGTAGAAAACAAACAATATAATATACTACAAACATACTTCACCTGAACTTGAAAATACAACCACTTAAAGCACGTCTTTGGTAAATAGATTTCTATGTTTTTTTTTATACTTTGTAAAATACTCGAATTGTGTGTACATACAATCTATGCATTTATGTTGTGTATTTCCTCTACATTGTAAAGGTAATATTTTTTGTAACTTTGTAAAAATGTTGACTTACATGTGACCAACTATTTTCAAATTATCCTATATAATTAATGGATAAAAATGCCTTAATTGGATTAAAATTTGCTGAGTTAGTTTTAGCTTAAAATGTCTAGTTTTTATGAAGATCCATCTATCTCTATTTGACTTATTTGAACATATGGATGATATTGATATGGAAATCCATAGATTTGAAACTTCTCAATTGTTCAATATGGGGCCATGAGAAATGCTGATAAACCAGTAACAACGCCTTGGGAGACAGACAATTATTTTCTTTCTATTTGTTACTTACGATAATGCTCGAAAAAGTTGGAAAATTGGAAGTTTAGAATGCTCTTCCTCTGCGATTGCCATATGCCCTCTGCGATATATCTATCTATCTATCTATCTATCTATCTATCTATCTATCTATCTATCTATCTATCTATCTATCTATCTATCTATCTATCTATCTACCTATCTATCTATCTATCTATCTATCTATCTATCTATCTATCTATCTATCTATCTATCTATCTATCTATCTATCTATCCATCTATCTATCTATCCATCTATCTTATCTATCTATCTATCTATCTATCTATCTATCTATCTATCTATCTATCTATCTATCTAGCTATCTATCTATCTATCTATCTATCTATCTATCTATCTATCTATCTATCTATCTATCTATCTATCTATCTATCTATCTATCTATCTATCTATCTATCTATCTATCTATCTATCTATCTATCTATCTATCTATCTATCTATCTATCTATCTATCTATCTATCTATCTATCTATCTATCTATCTATCTATCTATCTATCTATCTATCTATCTATCTATCTATCTATCTATCTATCTATCTATCTATCTATCTATCTATCTATCTATCTATCTATCTATCTATCTATCTATCTATCTATCTATCTATCTATCTATCTATCTATCTATCTATCTACTTTTATCTATCTATCTATCTATCTATCTATCTATCTATCTATCTATCTATCTATCTATCTATCTATCTATCTATCTATCTATCTATCTATCGATCTATCTATATCCTATCTATCATCTATCCATCTATCTATCTTATCTATCTATCTATCTATCTATCTATCTATCTATCTATCTATCTAATCTATCTATCTATCTATCTATCTCTATCTATCTATCTACTATCTATCTATCTATCTATCTATCTATCTATCTATCTATCTATCTATCTAGCTATCTATCTTAGCTATCACTCTATCTATCACTCTATCTATTATCTATCTATCTATCTTCTATCTATCTTCTATCTATCTATCTATATTATCTATCTATCTAGCTATCTATCTATCTACTATCTATCTATCTATCTATCTATCTATCTATCTATCTATCTATCTATCTATCTATCTATCTATCTATCTATCTATCTATCTATCTATCTACTCTATCTATCTATCTATCTATCTATCTATCTATCTATCTATCTATCTATCTATCTATCTATCTATCTTTGAAATAGGGGTTTTCCAAAAACACATTTTTCTAAAATCTACATCTTTGTTTTCCCTTATATCAATTGCTTAAAATCCCTTTGAATCATCACATGTTTATTTTAACAAAAATATTTGTCTAAATCCCTTAATTTATGATCACCTACTACTGACTTACCTGAATTGTAATAATCATCGTATTCGCAATCATTATCCGAATATTCCATATCCGAATCGGCTGACATGGTTTTTATTTATTTGTTATTGCTAGCTTTTTTGTTGCTAAATTTTTTACAACAATAAACCAACTGCAGTTATGTTTAAAAAGGTTTTGTTGTATTTTATTAAAATGAGAAAATGGCCAAACAATCAACCAATACTGAGAATGAACTTTAAAAATATTATATATATTTTTTAAATTTATTAAACAGGCACTAACACTGGCATAGATATAAATGCACTTCTGCTCTCATACACGCGTGTGTATATTTTGAAAAAATTCACGTAATTTGTTTTTGTTTTAGACTGGAATAAAATGACCCCTTGTGAAGTTTTGTTGTTGAAAATATAAAATGAAAAAACAACAACTACGTAGATGATGACGACGATGACGATGGTGTGTTAAAAATGTAGGGGAGCTTCAGCAGTAGCAACAACAACCTTTATCATCAGCTACTAAAATAACAACAACAATTGCACAGAATGCAGCACTCTGTCTACACCAGGGATGTAAAATTTGTTTAAAATAAAAGCTGCCAATATAAATGAACGTGTTACAGCTGATTTTTTGTTATTCTTTTATTTATATTTTACAAAATTTTGTGTTGGTGGTTGTTTTTCATATTCAGCTTAAAAAACAAGTTTAAAGGGAAAACAGGATTTTGATTTTGTACTCTACTATTAACGACTAGTTGACGTCTCTGGTTGTGAGTACATATTACACTGGATCTTTTTTTGCAGTGACGAAGGGGTGGTTGGTTGTACAATTTTTTTTCTTTAGGCGGAGGCGTATCGATAACTTGTTTTTATTACAAATCCCAAGAGGGTTGTAAAAATTTTATATAATTATTGTTTTAATTCTGCATTTTAATAGAAATTTCACTTTGTTAAACAAAACTATTTTTTGTTTATAGTTTAACAACAATAAAAATGTCCAGTTAGAATTGTTGGGATTGTGTGTGTAACAAAAAACTGCTCCCCTTTCCCAGAGAGATGTCAGCGGGGGGTTTAATTTGCTGGCTCAATTATGTCTCTTTTGTCTTGTTTTTTTTTGCATCTAAGTTCTTGAGTGTACAACTTTTCTTTGTTTTAATATATTTCGTTGCTTTTATAAACACTATTTAACACTTTAAATTAACTTGAAAACTTTTCTTCATACTTAAAATTTGTTTAAGTTTATTTCTTTCTTTGTATATAAATTAAAATATAATGTCTATGTAAAAAATGATTTTTCTTCCGAAGAAAGGCGTCGTAAATGTAATGAATATAGAGACCTGTGCCGACAAACATTAACTACGACGGCGTTTAAAAATAAAATTTCTGCAGCAGTTTAAAATCGTTGTTTCTGGCTATAAAAGCAGCGCTGCCAGATGAAAATCATTAATTGCCCGATAGATTTTAAAATTATTGTCAAAAATTGTTCTTAACATTATGATACCTTGCACCAGTGAGTATGTTAAAAATGTGATTTATTATTAATAATAAAGCATTTAATTAGTTTTTATCTTATCTCCGAAATTTTTTACAATTTGTTGACAAGAAAAGTGATTATCTAAAAAGGGGTTATTTGGGGGCTGGAGTAAATGAGAGATTTACTTTTACATAGAAGTTTTTTCATGTATTATTGAATTATTGACCTTCAAGTCATTTTCTGAAGGGGACTTGTTATGAGGTCTAGGGTCAAATTATTTTATTATTATAATTATTATTTATCATTAAATTTTGCCGATTTTTGCAAAGATATTGTAATATTTAACGTAATTAAGAGCTCTAAAGCCCAATTCAGGACCTAATGGAATAATGGACCGCTTTCAGTCATTTACAATATTCATTAACAGCAAATTATCTTGGAAAATTATCCGCTAAAATACCGTTATTGAAATAAGCCTGATTACTGTTACCTTTATTTTATTCCGTTTTGGAACGTTTATCAAGCTTGTATTAATTAGAAATATATTTTAAAGCTAGAAAAATTAATCAAAATATGGTGAACATTTTGAAGCCGTCCTTAACTAAATAATTTTCAGCTACGCCGGCTTTTAAATTTCTTCTGCGACTGGGCTTAGTAAATAATGTTATTCAATGCGGAATGTTAACACACAAAAATGATGGTGTTTAGTTTGTTTAGCAAAAAAAAGTGATGCCAAGTTTTACATTGTGTAATAAAGTCTGCTACTGGCCGGTAGAGTGAATTAAACGTTAATTTTAAATTTTGATGGTTTATTATCAGAATTTTGTATGGAAAAAGTTCCAAGAACCATTAATATCCTCAATATCTGTTACCAAGAACTATTTTTTGGTACTTTTTCGTTTTTTAACAGATATTTTTTAGTTTTAATATTGAATCTAGAAACATGAAATTAAGCATGTAGAGCACGGATTAAATGTGAAATTATTTAGAGGCGATTTTTTGGTAATTCTTCAAAAGTACTTTGAAGGGGAGGATTTTTGAAACTATTTCGTCACTCAATTGGTGGTCTTTGGTTTTTCTGTACTTTTTGAATGTTTTCTAATATTGAACCTATGAACGCAAAATTAATTAAATATAACACTTATTTATTTGTTTTTATTAAAAATTAAATAATTAAAATTAAATTAAAATTATTTCATGGTCACATTATAATTGAAAGAAAAACCCGATTCCTTTGTATATAAACCATCACTATTGAATAAAAGCATTAAAGGTCCGGGATTGGTGCCTAGAAAAAGTACAAAATCTTAATCTGGAAATTCATTCTTATTATTTCAAAAGGATTAAGCTAATTAATATTTGTTTTATCAGTTTTGATATTTAAAATATTATTATGTTATTTCTTAAATCATCTACTTACTAACAACTTCAGTGCCCTGAATGCTGTCGCCACAGAAATAGGTGGCTCTTTTACCCGTAACTTTAATTTTCGCCTGAGGTATCATTAAATAATCCGAGCTAATGGCGTTATTTGTGGGATTCCTGTGACAATATTCATCAGTAGAATTTTCTTTTGACGCTGCACCCAAAAGGAAAAACTTGGGGTTCAAACTGGAAAAAATTTACTAAAAAATATTTAAAACTTTTCCAAGAAAACTCCAAATAAAACTTACACTAAACTCCTTGTATCCTCAGTACGGCGGAAGCATATAGCATAATTTAGATTACCAGGATAAATACCTTTACCCTGATCGAAATTGAAAGAGGTAACTGAACCTTCGGCATAGGGGAAGTATTGTAAACAACCGGGAGGAGACACAAAGAAACCATCTTTAATGGTGGAGCTACCCAAAGCAGGTTGTATTGGCTCAACACTACGTATAGCAGCTCCCACCGGACACTCCAGTTGTGTAACAAATATATTCCATTTAGGAGTGGGCAGATTGTGATAACCCACACGATTAGCCAAAGCCACCATTAGGTTTACACTAGTAACACCAGCCGTACGATTGAAGGGCAGGTAAATATGTTGTGACGTTTCAGTGCCACATAATTTCAAATTTCCAGCCTGGAAATAATCCTTATCACATTGAACATATTTTAAATCATTATCCGGTCCAGGCAGTGAAGGAGGCGCCAAGGTGTAGCCAAACTCAATGCGCAATTGACACACATTACTGCTGTAGGCATTGATCTTGTAGTTACACTCTCGAGGAGGATTTTTAGGATTGGTTAGTTGAATTCTTTTAGACGAACTACTACCACCACAACCGGGCTTACCCACCGAGGCGGAATAAGCAAAATGCGACAAAGTCACCAGTAAAAGTAGGGTTAGAATTGTATTCATTGCGATGCACTTAACTATTAAACTAAATTAAATATTTAGGAGGAATGGAGTTTTTATATGATTTCTAAATAGCTAATAGATATATTGGTTTTCTTATCTCTGGTATAATGATAGAGCATATTTTTTAATTTAGCAAAATATTTATTGCACAAAACCCTTTAGTTTTTTTTTTGGGGGAAATTTAAGATAAACATTAATACATTAAGGGTATTCACAGACTATTAGACATGCTATTATACCGAATCTTTATTACCCTTCCAAAATGGCATCATCTTAATCTGATTATCCATACTGTTTGGCCAATTAAGTTCAATATCGTTGTTATCAAAAACAGCTGTCTAATAATGATTTATTTATCCATTAATTATTACTACTTATATCTGTTTTAAGTTATAAATTATTTCCCTTCTATAATTATTAATTACTTAGATATTTTATTTAGAAGCTTTAATTTAATTTACAAACTTTTGCGTTGATACACTGATTTAAGCTTCCTCCTTTTTCTCTTTCTTTAATCTCTCACTAATTGTCTTGTTTAATCTGTTTACTACTTCCTTCCTTTCTTTTGTTTTCCTTTAGTTGCAATTTTAACTCGACGCGTTGCGTAGGTGACTTTGTAAAACAATCAAATAAATTATAATAAATTGTGAAAAAAAAGCTGCAAATGCTATTTATCGATTAAATTTGTTTAAATAATAGTTTAATAATAAAAATCATATAAAATAGTTTATAGTTCTTTACTAATGAAAGTGTGATGGTGATTGCAAGAAAAAAGTTTGGCCAAAATGTTTTAGATGTTTTTTTTTTGTTATCCGTTTTGTGGTGTCATTCGTTGTTGCGTCTTAAAAAATAAATTGAAGTATAAAAGTAAAGCAGAGTGTTAATATTTTGTTTAAATAAAAGTGCAATAATGTCAATTGCTTAATTTCTATTAATTTTTGTTTAAATGTGCACAAATATATATGTACATACATACATATGTATGTATGTTTGTATAATGTGTAAGTTTGTTGTTATTTTTTGAGTGTTTCAATAAGTGTATTTCTACATGTGTTTAGCTACATGTTTCTATAAGTTTTTGTTTACATTAACAAAATAAAAACAACATCGTTTGTGTAAGCTGCTTTTTAACAAATTCATCGTAAACAAGTAAGTTCTCTAATTATTTAATAAAAATTTGTTTAGTATTTATCTTTCATACAAGTTGTTTGTTGTTGTTGTGGTGTTCTATAAAGCGACTTTCAAACTACTGACATTTTGTCGAAAAAAGTCGCTTTTGTAAATAAAAGTCGAACGAAAAACAAATTGTGTTAACAAATTATTGAAAACCTGACTTAAACATTGAGAAAGAAGTCAAATGTGAACAAAGTTGACAAATGTCAAAAAGTCATCATCTTGACGTGATTAATTCATAATGTTTGACCAAATAATTGTTATCAAGTAAAAGTGTAGTAAGGTTATGTATAAAAAAATGCAATTAAGTTCAGTGTAGGGTTCTATAGTTGAAACGAAAAGTCGACTTTTCGACTTTTTGCATTTAGTTAAAAGTCGACTTTTCGACCTTTCGACTTTTTCCATTTTATGAAAAGTCGATTTTTCGACTTTTCGACCTTTTTCATTTATTTAAAAGTCGACTTTTAGACTTTTCGACTTTTAGTATTTTATAAATGGTCGACTTTTCGACCTTTCGACTTTTTCCGACTTTTCGACTTTTTCCAACTTTTTCCGACTTTTTTCGACTTTTCGACTTTTTCCGACTTTTTCCGACTTTTTTTCGACTTTTCGACTTTTTTCGACTTTTTTCGACTTTTCGACTTTTTCCGACTTTTTTCGACTTTTCGACTTTTTCCGACTTTTTCCGACTTTTCGATTTATTACGACTTTTTGACTATTTTCGACTTATTTCGACTTTTTTTCGACTTTTTTCGACTATTTTTTTACTTTTTTCGAGTTTTTCCGACTATTTTAGAGTTTTTGACGTCTTTTCCACTTTTTTAAAATTTTCGACTATTTTCGACTTTTCGACTTTTTCCGACTTTTTCCGACTTTTCGACTTTTTTCGACTTTTCGACTTTTTTCGACTTTCTTCGACTTTTTTCGACTTATCGACTTTTTTCGACTTTCCGACTTTTCGACTTTTTTCGACTTTTATTTACAAAGTCGACTTTTCGACTTTTTTCATAGACGATAGTCGAGTTATCGACTTTTTTGGAACAAAATAGTCGACTTCGACTTTTTCCGACAAAAAGTCGATTGTTCGATTATTCGAAGTCGATTTATAGAACCCTAGTTCAGTGTCGTTGGCATCAAACACAACTGTTTAATAATGATTTATTTTTCCATTTAATATTACAACTTATATCAGTTTTAAGTTATAAATTATTTCGAGTTAAAATAGAAAAATGTTTCGCCAAAAACTTTTCAAAATAGACTTCTTTGTTTAAATCACTACGTTGACAGCACTGATTTAAGCTTCCTCCTTTTTCTATGTATTTCTTTAATATCTCTCTAATTGTTTTGTTTAAGCTGTTTACTACCGCCTTCCTTTCTTTTGTTTTCCTTTAGTTGCAATTTTAACTCGACGCGTTGCGTAGGTGACTTTGTAAAACAATCAAATAAATTATAATAAAGTGTGAAAAAAAGCTGCAAATGAAATTTATCCATTAAATTTTGTTTAAATAATAGTTTAGTAATGAAAATCATATAAAATAGTTTATAGTTCTCTACTAATGAAAGTGTGATGGTGATTGCAAAAAAAAATTTTGGCCAAAATATTTTAGATTATTGTTTTGTTTACGGTTTTGTGGTGTCATTCGTTGTTGCGTTTTAAAAAAGAAATTCATGTATACAAATAAAGCGGAATGTTAATATTTTGTTTAAATAAAATTGCAATAATGTCAATTGCTTAATTTCTATTAGTTTTTGTTAAAATGTGCACAAATACATACCAATGTAGTATGTTCATATGTATATACATTTGTATGTATGTTTGTATAATTTGCAAGTTTGTTGTTATTGGCTTTAAGTGTTTTAACAAGTGTATGTCAACATATGTATGTTTAGCAACATGTTTCTATAAGTTTTTGTTTACATTAACAAAATAAAAACACTAGGAAAAGTCTTAAGAAATGTTTATATGATGTGGATGGTTTTTGTAAGCAGATTTTTAAGTAAGTTAATAACTATTTTATAATAATATTATTTATTTTTATATAAATATTCAAATATAAATATTTATATAAATAATCAGTTTTATTGAAAAAAAAAATACATAATATTTATGTACCCACTTATAGTCTATATAGTCTATAGTCTAGTTTTTAGTCTAGTCTATAGTCTACTTTTTAGTCTAGTCTAGTCTAGTATAGTCTAGTCTAGTAGTAGTCTAGTCTAGTCTACTAGTCTATAGTCTAGTCTATAGTCTAGTCTATAGTCTAGTCTATAGTCTAGTCTATAGTCTAGTCTATAGTCTAGTCTATAGTCTAGTCTATAGTCTAGTCTATAGTCTAGTCTATAGTCTAGTCTATAGTCTAGTCTATAGTCTAGTCTATAGTCTAGTCTATAGTCTAGTCTATAGTCTAGTCTATAGTCTAGTCTATAGTCTAGTCTATAGTCTAGTCTATAGTCTAGTCTATAGTCTAGTCTATAGTCTAGTCTATAGTCTAGTCTATAGTCTAGTCTATAGTCTAGTCTATAGTCTAGTCTATAGTCTAGTCTATAGTCTAGTCTATAGTCTAGTCTATAGTCTAGTCTATAGTCTAGTCTATAGTCTAGTCTATAGTCTAGTCTATAGTCTAGTCTATAGTCTAGTCTATAGTCTAGTCTATAGTCTAGTCTATAGTCTAGTCTATAGTCTAGTCTATAGTCTAGTCTAGTCTAGTCTATAGTCTAGTCTATAGTCTAGTCTATAGTCTAGTCTATAGTCTAGTCTATAGTCTAGTCTATAGTCTAGTCTATAGTCTAGTCTATAGTCTAGTCTATAGTCTAGTCTATAGTCTAGTCTATAGTCTAGTCTATAGTCTAGTCTATAGTCTAGTCTATAGTCTAGTCTATAGTCTAGTCTATAGTCTAGTCTATAGTCTAGTCTATAGTCTAGTCTATAGTCTAGTCTAGTCTATAGTCTAGTCTATAGTCTAGTCTATAGTCTAGTCTATAGTCTAGTCTATAGTCTAGTCTATAGTCTAGTCTATAGTCTAGTCTATAGTCTAGTCTATAGTCTAGTCTATAGTCTAGTCTATAGTCTAGTCTATAGTCTAGTCTATAGTCTAGTCTATAGTCTAGTCTATAGTCTAGTCTATAGTCTAGTCTATAGTCTAGTCTATCTAGTCTAGTCTATAGTCATAGTCTATAGTCTAGTCTATAGTCTAGTCTATAGTCTAGTCTATAGTCTAGTCTATAGTCTAGTCTATAGTCTAGTCTATAGTCTAGTCTATAGTCTAGTCTATAGTCTAGTCTATAGTCTAGTCTATAGTCTAGTCTATAGTCTAGTCTAGACTAGACTATAGTCTAGTCTATAGTCTAGTCTATAGTCTAGTCTATAGTCTAGTCTATAGTCTAGTCTATAGTCTAGTCAATAGTTTACTCTATAGTATAGTCTATAGTTTAGTCTATAGTCTAGTCTATAGTCTAGTCTATAGTCTAGTCTATAGTCTAGTCTATAGACTAGTCTATAGTCTAGTCTATGGTCTAGTCTATAGTCTAGTCTAGTCTATAGTCTAGTCTATAGTCTAGTCTATAGTCTAGTCTTTAGTCTAGTCTATAGTCTAGTCTATAGTCTAGTCTGTAGTCTAGTCTATAGTCTAGTCTATAGTCTAGTCTATAGTCTAGTCTATAGTCTAGTCTATAGTCTAGTCTATAGTCTAGTCTATAGTCTAGTCTATAGTCTAGTCTATAGTCTAGTCTATAGTCTAGTCTATAGTCTAGTCTATAGTCTAGTCTATAGTCTAGTCTATAGTCTAGTCTATAGTCTAGTCTATAGTCTAGTCTATAGTCTAGTCTATAGTCTAGTCTATAGTCTAGTCTA